CTATTCCCCAAGGTATCTCAGTCAGATGATCTAAGCATACAGCTTCAGAGTCAAAGAAGCCTGAAAGGTCATCTGATTCTAATCTATCAGGTTAAAGAAAAGAAGCCTATTTGCCCAGAGAGGTTACATGACTTGCCCAAGGGCGTACAGCTCCTGGGAAGAGTGGCAGAACTACCAAGCAGAAATTCCAGACCTGCATTTACATTCTGAAACTTACCATACCTGCTTCCGACCTTGGGCAAAGGATGCAATGTCTTGGAGCTCAAGGTTCTTCATCGGTGAAGTGGTGCCTGGCACACTGTGGGTTCTCTATAAAATATTGGTCTCCTTTGCCCCCTTTTACTGGTTCCTAAGCCCCACTTGAGAACAATGGCTGGGATCTAAGTTTGAGGGACCTCTCCACTGGAAGCACAAAGGGCAGGACAGATAGGAGAGAATATGCGGCAGGAGAGAACAGCAGGTGTGTTTGGGGAGGTTCTACAGCGCTGCGCAGGAGCATGCCTCAAGATGATTAGGGAGACCAAGACACAGCTACAATGGTGAGTTGATTTTCTGTTTTTAAAAAAACCTTTCTGAGCCAAAGTATCTTCATCTATAAAATGGAAACATGTGCTTAAAGGATCAACTGGATAACTTATGTGAACCCCGAAAATCTGAGGTCTCAGTTAATTCAGAAAGTTTATTTTGCCAAGGACCCACTGGGACACAGCCTCGGGAAGTCCTGCTGACATGTGCCCAAAATATATAAAACAACTTAGTTTTATATATTTTAGGGAGACATGAGATATCAATCAATATATGTAAGAAGTACATTGGTTCGGTCTGGAAAGGTGGGACAACTTGAAGCCAAGGCAGGAAGTGGGGAGGGGGCTTCCAGGTCACAGATAGGTGAGAGATGAATGGTTGCATTATTTTGAGTTTCTGATTAGCCTTTCCAACAGAGGCAATCAGATAGGTACCTATCTCAGTGAGCAGAGGGGTGACCTTGAATAGAATGGGAGGCAGGTTTCCCCTAAGCAGTTCCCAGCTTGACTTTTCCCTTTAGTTTAGTGATTTGAGGGCCCCAAGATTTATTTTCCTTTCATATTTGTAATAATAGTTATTTCATATATGGTTAACTATGTGCCAGGCACTGTTCTAAAGACTTTACCACAAGCTCACAATCTTCGAAACAACTCTGTGAGGCAGGTTCTCTTATTCTCCCTATTTTGCAGATGAAAGAAGTAGAACCCCCACAAAGGTAAAGTAACTTGAATAGGTCATAGTGCCATGATAGAGACAGAGGTGGCAAACTTTTGTTTAATAAGGAGCCAGATCGTAAACACTTCAGGGGCTGTGAGGCTCTATCACAACTATGCAACTCTGCCTGTGCAGCTCAAAAGTAGCTGAAGACAGGCCAGGTGAGGTGCTCACACCTGTAATCCCAGCACTTGGGGAGGCCGAGGCAGGTGGACCACAGGGGGTCAGGAGTTCTAGACCAGCCTGGCCAACATGGTGAAACCCCGTCTCTACTAAAAATACAAAAATTTGCTGGGTGTGGTGGCACACACCCATAATCCTTGCTACTTGAGAGGCTGAGGCAGGAGAATTGCTTGAACCCGGGAGGCAGAGGTTGCAGTGAGCCAAGATTGCACCATTACATGCCAGCCTGGGTGACAAGAGTGAAACTCCATCTCAAAAAAAAAAATGTTAGCCGGAGACAACGCAAAAAGGAATAAAGGAATAGGTGTGGCTATGTTCCCGAAGAACTTTACAGGCATAGAAATTCAAATTTCATAAAATTTTTGTCTTACAAATTGTTCATCTTTTGACTGTTTCCAGTCACTTAAAAATGTAAAGCCCATTCTTAGCTTTCAAGCCATACAAAACCAGGCTGCAAGCCGGATTTAACCCTCAAGCTATAGTTCGCCAACTCCTGCTCCATCCTATGCTATCTCACCTTACATCTACGTGAAAGATGTAAGGTGTCAGACAGAGTGTGCCTGAACAGTGACCAGCACAGACTAAGTGGTCAGTAAATGCTCATTCTCGTTCCCTTCCCTAATCTCGTTCTCCTTCTTCTTCACCACAACCAGATCAGATATCTCATTTTGCGCCCAGCACAAGAGAGGAAGGCGAGGACTTTAGCGAGGTGGACTGCAACTTCTCAGTAAAGAAGTTACTGAGGAGTGTCCCAAAGGGGAGGAGAGAGTGGGAATTTGAGCTCAGTGTGGCTCAAACTTTAATGAGTATACACCTAGAGGTCCTGATAAAATGCAGATTCTGATTTAGTAGGCCTGAGAATCTGCTGGTCGGTCCTGCAGGTCACCCTGTGAGCAACAAGCTTCAAGGGCATCCCCTCTGTGTCCACAAACACAAGTCAGACTCGCGCTGCCTCCAGGCTTTGGGTTCAGGCTGGACTGAGTGGCTCCCTGGAGACAGGGCAAGGTCCAGGACATATAATCAGGTCCCCTCCCCAAGGACAGCCTGAGATGACTTACAATGGAGGAGGAAGACAATACGGGGCGGAGATCAAGAGCGGGTAGGGGAAGGCTCCAGCAAAGGCGTCTGTTCCTTTGGCAACAGCAGACAGAGGCCTCCTGGGGGCCCAGCAGACAGGAGCCCCTCCCGCCGTGCCTGCCAGGGCTCTGATGGACGGAAGCAGGAGGCCTATTTCCTCATCGGGCCTCTGAATAACTAGGGCACTTCCACAAGGTCACAGTTATTCATTTAAATTCCAGGTCTAATCAGCAGACAGAGCTTGAGAAATTATCCCTTCTGAGGAGAGAGGCTGTCATTGGAGCACCATAAACAGCCCCTCCAGGCAGGAGGGACAAGCACTGAGGGAGGGGAGAAGAAGGTCCCAGAATTGTTCCCTGTGCTCTAACCGACTACTCGGCTACTCTTGTCTCTTCATCACCTCCAAATGGCTTCCAGAGAGTTCTGGAACAGGCAAAAGGCAGGGGAGGGTTTAAGACAGGGCAGAGATGCCCATCTCTGCCCTACAAGCAGCCCAGGAAGACCAGTGACAAATTCCAATGTACAAAAGCATGGGATAAAGCACCTGACAGGGGTCCCTGCCAGGCCACAAATGGGTTACATAGCCTTGGAGAAGTCCCTTCCCTTCTTGGGCCTGAGTTTGCACTCCTTGGACAGGATACCCTTTAAGCTCCACCATGTCTTGGAACCCTACAAACTCAAAATTTCCCATGTGCTTGTGGCCATACTTCTTGTTCAATAGAAATTTTTGAGGTTAAACTCTGTGCCATGTGCCATGCAAAGAGCTGGGAATGCAGACACAAATAGGACACAGCCTGGCCCACAGCTCTGTCATGTGAAAAGCAGGGTCTGGAAGAACAAGAGCACAAGCTTTGGAGGCAGACAGATCCGGGATCCTGGCCTAGTCACTAGCAGGAGGTGACCTGGGCAAGTTACTGAACTCCCTGCAGCAACTTTTCTCCCTCTGTGCTGAGGATGGTAACACCAACCTGGAGGGGCTGACATGGAGGGTTAAGAGAATGTCAGAGCTGGGCTCCCAGGCCCTCTTCAGCACCTGTCAAGTGCTTATTGTTACTGTTATTATTCTGAACCTCCTCCCCAAAGGCTACAAGGAGGGAATGTGGATTTCACCCCATGAAGTCGAAGAAAATGTGCCTGCCCCTTTTTCCTGGGTGCCCTGGGCTCTTGCTCCAAGTCCCCAGCCTGTCTCTGGGACCTTGGGAAAGGTATTGCCCACCAGGCCCCATCTCAGACTTTTACATTAGGGTTACTTCTAACTCATCTCCTCCACATGTAAAATTAATCAATTAATCAATCGTCCCTTTATAGTCTTCCAGCGGCCTCTGGTAAATAGTTACATTAGCTCATAAAATCCCCAATTTGTCTTCCTGAGGGGAAGGAAAAAAAAGTCAGAGAACCACTAAAGGCTTCTTGTTTCAGAACCACAGTGCTGCTGGCTCCAGAATGCCTGGCCAGGGGCTCAGAGAGGCAGGAGGCCCCCACTGACCTCAGCCAGGGCTGGGCATGCTCAGGCCACCTCCTGCCGCGTCCAGGGTCACAAGGGAAGGGTCCAAACCAGTGATTTGCTTCAGGCTCAGAAACCATGAAAAAGCAAGGGGTTGGTAGGGCAACAAGATTGGTAATCAGCCCTTGACACCTCAAGGACAGAATGAAGAGCACAAGATCTGAAATTAGGCTGCAATCCCCTCTTGGCCCTGCCACTTAACAGCTGGGTGACCGTCACACATCATTTAACTTCCCTGGGCCCCAACTTCCTCAGCACTGAAATGGCGCTCAGGCTACACACCTCAGAGGGATAAGAGAACAAAATGAGACAATAGCCATGAAATTGAAATGGTGTTGGTCAGGCTGATCATAGTTGCTGTTATCTGAGGAAGGGTGACTCACAGACCTCTACCCCTTTGAAAGGATGGCAGAAGGCCTATTGGTCCACTGTGTTTCACTCCGCCATGTTATCTCACCCAGGACCAATATGGCGCCTGTATGAGCACTAGAAAAAGATGCCCCTTTGGTCAGAGGCAGCTGCATGGACACAGCTTGGCAAGAGGAACAAAGGCTGGATTCATACCCCCATGCACCCCCTTGGCTGGGAGACCCTAAGCAGGGCCCAGCTCTATGTGATGACCCCTGGTCACATCTCTACTGGGAACCAGAAAGAGAAGAAGCCATATGGCACTTTACAAACAAAACAAGGTGTTGGGCTTACTCCCTCGCTTCCTTGAGGTTTCCCAGCAAATATCACCTTATCAGAGGATACTTCCCTGACTGCCTATTGTAAATTAGGGACTTCTCCTCTATCCTGCTTCAATTTTCTCCACAGCACTTCTCACCCACCCCCTGACACTATATATATGTAATATATACATAACATGCATATATGCATGTATATATGTATGCATATAAAGTATGTGTATATATACATAGATATGTGTGTGTCTGTGTGTACATTTTAGATCATTGTCTGCCTCTGTCCAAAATAAAAGGTCCATGAGGGTACTGACTGTCTTCTGTTTTGTTCACTGTTTTGTCCCCATGGCCTAGAACAGTTCCTGGAACATAAATATTCGTTGAGTGAGTGATTGAACTAAAATATTATTAAATAGAAATAAACTTAATGGCATCTTCCTAGGAAATGCTGTCCTGGGCTTTGGTTCAAACACCAATTATTTTCAAAGGTAGGGAGCAGGCAGGAAAAAATGGAGAGAAACTCTCTGCATTAAGTAGAATAACTGTATTCTACTTTTATGTGGTGTACGATCCCACATAGAACAATGATCAGAAGAATGTTACTTAAGTCTGGTTGATTATTTTAGATATTTAAGAACAATAAAAAGATACATTCATTCAGAAAGAAGGCTGCTAATAAAGAAAATGTCATATTATCTCTAAGCAAAAACAAACAAATAAGCAATAGTCTCATTAGGAAATACTTACAAAATCTTTAATCACTGAGAATTTTCACTCATGAGTCCTAGCATGTTCCAATGGAGAGTCAAAAGTTCAAATCCCAGTGCTACCACTGACAAGCTCTATGACCGTGGGCAAAACTGCTTAACCTAACAGGCCCTAAATTTCCTGTACATTAAAATGAATATAATGATACTTATCTTGTATTAATGCTATAAAAAAAATTAAATGTTAAAAGGACTAAACAAGAAAATATGTGAAAACATCTGAGATGATGCTCCCTTCCTATTTGGTCAAGTTAATTATTCTTTTTAACTCAAAGTTCTAGCCAGTTCAGAATAGTCTCCAAACCATTCTAAGTCATCTGACACTTATCCATAAATGTTTGCATCAGTTCACATGATTCTAGGTATGTGTGTGTGCATATATATTTGTCTATACACACACAACGCTTAAAACCAGGACTCTGGATGAAGACACACTTTAAAAAGAAAAATGCTTAATTATTATAAAGGTGGTTCTTTTATTTTTTCCATTGACAAAAACCATTTATTCAAACCATCCCACTTTTTTTTCCACAGTGAGCATGTATTATTTACATAACCAGGAAAAACAATAAATATTGCTGATTTCCTTGTGAAAAATACATTTCTTAGAATAAACAGAAAGAAAGCTCCTTTCACCCACATCATATTTTCCATGCTACGTATGTCATATCTTCTGCTTTCAACCATATGAAGCTACAAAAGATAAGCAGATGTGTGGAAGACAAAGCAAAACCTGTTCATTAAATTGGAGAATACTTATCTAAGAACATCTTTACAAATACTTTCCCAAAAATGCTCATTTTCTGAATCACCCAGAAATACTAAGGAGAAGGAAGTTATTATATTAAGTATGAGAACCATATTCCTTTGGTTTTAAAATGGTTCTTCAAAACCAATACAAATCCATTAATTCGAAGCATTTCTTCTTCTAAACCTAGATCAGTGAAAATGCAATATACTCAGAATTTTGTCTCTCTAAAAGTCTCACTCAGACTCAAACCATGCACAATCTAGCAGAGGAGAAATTCCCACAGCAGCTGTGCAAACACAAAGACTCACCTGGACCTTGACTGACATCTGTGGCAGCATTTTCAAAGGGAGAGAAAGGGAGAGGAGAGAAAGGGGGAGAAAAAGGAAGAAGAGTGTTAGCAGCACACACACACACAATGCAATATGCACTTGCATGACTATCACGTTCATGCAAGCCCCAAAGGTACTCAGCTCCTGAGCGCTTAGTTCTACCTTCACCCAAAAACCACCCATGCAAGCCGAGGGGCCAGGCTCCCTTTTCACTTTGCATGTAGCAAGAGAGGTAAGCTTCACATCTGTCCGGAAAGACATCATCCTGGAATCAGATAGGGCTTCAAAGAGCCAAGCAGACTGGAATCCTGCAAGAATATTGGTTAAAATATTCTGGTTGATTTCTGCACACTGACACCAAAGCAAATCCTCCTCCTCCTCCTCTTCGGATACCAAACACTGGACATGAAGTCAAGCAAGGTTTCCCAGCAGAGAGAAAAAGTAAAAATGGACCACTCCCTTGAGAAACAAAGCAAAAGAGGCATAACAATTAAGAGCAAGTTACAGATTTATTCGCCACATAGGACTGAAGGACATAAGATCACAAAATATTTACAAATCCCCCCCTCCCCAGTATACCCAGTGACCACGCTTCATCACAGACAGCAGTGTGTGTGCATGAGATTGTGTGTGAGTAGATCATTCATCATACAAATTGAAATCTTGCCTCCTCCTTTAATTTTTTTCCTTGCTTTTCACCCCATCACTAATGACAGAAATTGACATTTGAAATCACTTTTGACAACTACGAATAAACACCCAACCCTAGAAAGGTTGATATTTGAATTAAGCCAATGAACTTTCAGAAAATGAAGAACGCTTCACTCCTATCAGCTCCATGAACAACATAATCTCCTCATCCTTTCCTCAGATGTGAAATAGAATTGGGCTGGGGAAGCATAACCCAGAGCAGCCCAAGGCACTGTTAAAACCCCTAGGCCCATCTGAGAGGATATACCACAGCAGAGGAGAAGGAACAAGGGGCTGCTTCAGGAAACCACTGACCAACCCGGCAGTCTTGGATAGCTCACTTAGAATCACTGAACAGTGGATCTGGAGTAGCCACAGACACTAAGTACCTAGTTTAGTTCTTTTTTGTAAAGATGGAGGATGAAAGAAGTAGAGACTTGTACTAGGTCACACAGCTACTTCAGGGGCAGAGACTAGAAAATATCCTAGATCTCCTGAATCCCACCCAGTCCATCATTCCATTCAACTGAAGCCTAGGTCCCTCAAGAGCATACAGGAACTGAATTTGGTTTGCAGATTAAAGCGATTATGCTGAAGCCCTGGGGAAGCTGGGTGAGCGTCTCCCAACTACCCTATGAGTGGGTCATGGTTTATTCTCTGTGCCTCTAATTTGCTGCCTGAACAGGATGGGTAATGTTCTTCATGCCAACCAATAATGAAATGCCTGCAATCAGATTTGTAAAGTTCTAGTGTATCCTTAGGGCTCTTGTCCCAGGAAAATCCAGGTGCTGACCAACTAAGCTGTGGCCCAGAACAAAAGAGAAACATACCCATAGCAACAGCTGAGCACTTCTCTAGCCCCCAACCTGCCTCCCCTAGAAGCTGTATCTGCCCAAAGAAACTTCTAGAAAGCTCTGAATCATGCCTCAGCCACACCCCACCCCCCCCCACCCCCCCGCTTCAGGTTTTCTAGTGTGTTAGATTTAGGGATGAGAGGCAGGAAGAAGAGAAGAGGTGGAAAGGGAAAAAGTGTTGTATAAATAACTAGGCAGGGCCATTAACTGTTACTGATGGATTGCCTAGAATAGATATTAAAATACCCCTTAATTAAATAGGATATCAAACTATTTACATGTGGCTGAGTTCTGTGGCAGAAGAATGTCAACACCATTGCCCATACAAACAGTCTCTTTAGGGACACCAAGTCCCAGGGAGACAGAATTCCCTGGAACTCCAAAGGTTTTTCAGTACCGGTTACTAGCCCATTGGGGATGTGGTTACGATCTTAAACTTCAGAGACAGACAGGTCTGGGTTCAAATCCCAGCCTCTCTGTGGCCTTGGACTCATCATTAAACTTCTAAGAGTCATCTTCCTTGGCTATAAAATGAGAATGATATCAGAGCCTCCCTCATGGGGGTGTTATGAGAATTAAATGAGATTAAATACTTGTAAAGCACTGAACTAAGTACAAGGCAAATGCTACATAAATGTTAGTGACTCTGATTGTTATCAGTTTGAATTACCACAGACAGAAATACAAAAAAATATTGACCAGATGGCTCACTGGAAACACTAAGAAATCACAGGAATGAAGCCAGTGATTTTGGTTCCACTTTTCTGCTTACGAATAAGGATGTCTGCTCCTGATCTCCCCTCCCTCTGGTTCTTTCCCACCCCATTCCTCAGTGCGAAGTGAAGGAGTGAATAGAAGCAAGGATCAAAACAAATTCCATCCTTATTTCTTTTGTTTTCCCTCCTCAAGTCTCAATTTGGCATAGTTCTAGTCCTGTATGTAAAAACACTACACCTATTCCTGTCAAAGAGGGGCAACAATCCCACCAAAAACAAACAAACGAACAAAACTTTCTGGCTAGGGATCAAGGTCCAAGCTCAGTTCCTAGCTATGGCACTGACCTAGAGGCAGGTCTGAGCGTTATTCCAGCTTTAGGACTACAGACACATTATCACCTGGCCCCTGGCCCAAGAAGCAGTGAGTGACCTGAATCTCGGGACTCAATTCTGACTAACAGCATGAAATGGCGAAGGCAAGAGGTAGATGAAGGAGGGGGATGGCTAGCAAGTAAAGATCAAAATCTTAGCAGTGTCCATCTGCCAGACTGCCTATCCAGCATCCCCTTCCTCTTCTGCTTGTAACAATCCTCAGTTGTTTCCCAGGGAAGCCTCCCTTCCCAGCCTTAGCCCACGTGGTTTGCTAGAGGTGACCCACTCCCACTTGAGCTCCAAGGGTAGTAGTCATGTGACTCAGTCCAGGTCTTGAGAATATTCTATCTCCAATAATTGGCTCTGGAACAGACACGTGACCCAAGCCCAACCAACGAGAGTCGACCCATGGAATTTTACTGGAATTATCAGGAAATGGGGTGCTTTCATTTCTCTAGAGCTGCCATATTCCATCTTTGTTACCACGTGAAGACAGCTTACCTAAAAATGTGGGGAGCATAGAAGAAAACAGCTTTTCTTAATAAGGGGATTAAGATGACCTAGAACCAAATCCCAGCTCCACCCCCCCATCTAGAGGCAAGTATCTTAGCTTCTCTGAGCCTCAAACTTCTCATGTATAAATGGAGATACTAAAAGTATCTATTTCTGTGAGTTTTATCAATGAAGATCATCTATTCACCATTCAATACATATTGACAAAGCATCTATCATAGGCCAAACTCTGCTTTAAACATTGGAAACACAAGCCGAATGAAACAGACAATACTCTTGGGTTTTAATGGGAATAAAAACAGATATATAAAGTCAAATAGTGATTGGA